TCTCTCTTATGAAGCGACAGGACGCAGTTGAAAAGCTGTTGCGAAATTTTTTGGTACCAATAAATCCTGCCCTTCTTGCCTACTTCAGCTTAACTTGTCATTCGCACGGGAATGCTATCAACAGTTGAAAGGAGCCCCCATTGGGTCTCTTTTCTTTGTTTTCGTTGTTGAACCAACGATGCAAGAAAGTTGAGACTCCAGCCACACCATTAGTTAACCCAAAATTGTAGGTGATTTATGTGGATGAAACCTTTGAGGTCAACTGGAAATGCTGTTCAGCATCACTAGCTCAACCGAAAAAAAATAAATTGACAGCAAATTTCCTTTTCTGGAAGACCTTGAACAACGAAAGACTAACGAGACATTTGACACATCAGTGTACCGCAAAGAAGCTTCTTCGGAAGTTATTCTACATTAGGGGAGCAATAACCCCTTGCTGTTAACAGCCTTCTCAATCTAGCAAAGGCGCACTGCTTTGAGAACGAAAGCTATCATGTAGAACCTAGCTACTCGTTCAGACTGTTTTCCCAAAATTGGCACCTTGATGCATGGGACAGAAGGAGTCAAAAAGACAAGGAACTAGGTTGACCTAAACAGGCGCCCAAAACGGAAGACTGACGAACACTTCCTTGCAGTAAGAATGTGTCTGAAATCGTTGAAGGACACCTGAGGAAGCATCGAACACAAGTGACACACAAACCGACGACAACACTGCTCACCCAGCTGGTACGCCCTAACGACCGAATTGGGTACTTAAGATAAAGATTATGTTATCCACACAATTCTGTTCGACACATTCAATACAATGCGCTGTTGTCATACTGGAAAATCGGCCTCCACACACATACACGAACACCACTTGGCAACAACAAAAACGAGATCACTCGTTCAAAGTCGCCATGCATACGCAGTAGACTGGACACAAATTGACTTGAGACAAAATGCGCATTGTTGGTGTCTGTCCATGTAAAAAATGCGAAAAAATGTATGGAGGCTATACACTCGGATGACTCACGCATTAATCGGCACACCTAATTTGACGCCATGTACAGAAAGTGGGCTAACTCATGAAATGTCAACAGAAATTCCGAAATGCGTTTTCGTTTCGAGAAGATTAATTAAGTAGGGTTGTAAGACCAATCATCGTGCAGCATAATTCTATACTAATTCCCTTACGCCAGGATGCCGACTTTCGAACAAACTTCTTTCCGACTGCATGCAAGACCTATACTCTGCAAAAATGGCTGCTTAAGTAGCATGCATTTGTCTCATTGATATTCGATGCCCTTAAATATTCAATTATATTTCATGGAAAACATGCAAGAAAATATTCATTCTTTTACTCATTCAGTAGAAATCTACGTCTTCTTTCAATTTTACGCAGGAAGGAAAGGTATAATTCGGTTTTATAAAACTTTTTAAATTCCCGAATAATTTTGAACCCGACCTGGCGTTGCACTTGCATTCAGGTTTTCCAAGCTACAAGCCGTATATTTTCTGCATATGGAAAACCATACATTTATCTACGATGTTAAGAGAAGACCATGTGGGGTTCATAAAATTAAGCAGTGGATTTGAGCCATACTGTTAACTTTACAAGCCACATTGGTAAATGCAGAGACATGACGCTTTATGAAGGGCCAGTTCACGGTACTAAAATATCTCACAATTAGAAACTTTTTAAAGCAAATAATACCCTTCCTTCGTGCGTAAAATTGAGAGAAGACATAGTTCGCTACTGAATGAGTAAAAGAATGAATATTTTTACGCATGTTTTTCATGAAATATAATCGGGTATTCAAGGGCATCGAAAATCAACGAAAAAACGCCTGCTTCTTTAGTAGACAATTTTAAGGAGTATGGTTTTTGCATGCAGCCGGAAGAAAGTTTTTTCGAAAGCCGGAATCCTAAGGTACTAGTTTTGGTTTCCGTTATACTGGCAAACAGTTTGGGAAATACAGGTGCTGACCTTTTTATGTTATCTTATGAAAAATCGATCGCCTTGTTGAACTATCTTCCCGTCCAACCTTGTTGCACCGCGCCTATTCCATTGTGAATTTAAGCTTCGGGTGGAGACTTCTATATCACCACTGAAGGGACATACAATGGAGCCGGACTCGTAGTCAGCAGTTCTGTTAAAGCTGTGTCGGTTCCACAGGCAAACGATGTCTTGCCATTGCATGCCACCTCAAGTTGTGTTTATGAATTCATATGCGCGTTCGGATGCAAGTACATTGGGCGAACGCAAAACCAACTGATGGCCGGGTCAGTTGAACACCTCCCTAAATGGTTTTTAAAGAGGGAAAATAAACCCCTAGCCCTTCTATCACGAAACACCTCCTGACAGCGGTCACTCCATTGACACTAGAACATCCTTCCGAGTAATAGTTCAGGCGAGGCCTATATACGGCGGGAGAAACAGGGCCTATGCAAACAGCTAGATCAAGTGGCCAACCTCAACTTACCCAAGCCTTTGATTTGCACACACCTTTTGGTGTGTTAAATTCTCCCACCTCTTTCTTCCCTAAATTGTGTTTTTAAGTTACCACTTTCATGGGTTAGTCTGTGTGCACCAAGCGATGACCTTGTCGTTTTCACCGATTTTCTGTGCAGATTCCAACTGCCGTATGCTTCTTATTCGTTATCCGTATTATGCAGCGATAGGCTACAGTTGATTGGCCATCGCAAAACTGTCTGATTCCAATAAAATTCATTGCGGGGAAAGTGCTTCATTGTCGATTTCTTCTAGTATGTTTAGAATTCAACTGTTTTTGGACACTTGCTGCAATTCTGACGACAACCTGGGGAACCAGGGTCGATAATTTATAAAATAAAGTTTGTTCACACTTTCAAGGAAATAATTTCTTTAGAAAAAAATATATATGGTAGAAGGTGTCCACCGTCCGGTTGTACTCTGGGACTCAACCTAGGATCCCCCCGGCAGTTGCATGGCTCTACTAGTCTAAGCAGACGTAGATTATCGACAAACACTAGGTAGACCGGAACGACTGCTTCCGGCTTATTAACCGTCGTTTGTCAGACATAAACAATCCCAGGTCTGGAGGGCCTGGGATTCGAACCCAGGTTCTTTGGTTATTAAATGTTGAATGGTTAGAGGGTCTACCATTGATCCGCGGGTCGGTCGTCCTGTCGGTTAATATCGAGGATATGAACTCTGGTGGAAATGCGCTCATCTATACTCTGTAAAAAGTGATTACTTAAACAGCATTAATTTTTCTTATTGATATTCGATGTTCTTATAGATTCAATTATATTTCATGGAAAACATACATAAAAATATTCATTCTTTCGCTCATTCGGTAGAACATTACGTCTACTGCCAATTTTGTACTCAAAGAAAGGGCAGTATTCGGTTTTCATAAACTTTTATAATTCCCGAATAATTTTCAATCCGCTTTGCCGTCACACTTGTATTCAGGGTCTGCCAACTACAAGCCATGTATTTTTCGAGTACGAAAACCACACATTTCTCTACGGTATTAAAAGGAGAACATATGGGGTTCATAAAATTTAGCAGTGGACTTAATCCATATTTTTAACTTTACAAGCCACATTGGTAAATGCAGAGACATGGTGTTTTATGAACGGTCATTTCACGGTACTTGAAAGTCCCACAATTAGAAACTTTTTAAAACCGAATTATGTCCCTCCTTCGAATATAAAATCGAAAGAAGACGTAATTTTCTACCGAATGAGCGAAAGAAAAATTATCTTTATCAAGTTTTCCATGAAATGTAACTTAATCTATAAGAGCATCGAAAATCAATAAGAAAAATGCATGCTGTTTAAGTAATCATTTTTTACAGAGTGTAGATTTTGTATGCAGCCGGAAGAAAGTTCGTTCGAAAGCCGGCATCCTGAGGTAACTGAAATATTATGCAATTACACTACAGACTAACTATTTTTACAACCCTACTTAATTAATCTTTTCGAAACGAAAACGCATCTCGAAATTTCGGTTGACATTTCATGAGTTAGCCCACCTACTGTATACATGGTAGAGGGTGCCCACCGTCCGGTTGTACTCTGCGACTCAACCTTAGGGTCCCCCTCCCGGCAGTCGCATAGCACTACTAATTTAAGCAGACGTAGACTATCGACAAACACAAGGTAGGCCGGAACGGCTGCCTCCGGCTTATGAGCCATCGTTTGTCAGACATAAACAATCCCAGGTCTGGAGGGCCTTGGATTCGAACCCAGGTTCTTTGGTTATTGAACAATGAATGGTTAGAGGGTCTACCATTGATCCACGGGTCAGTCGTCCTGTCGGTTAAGATCGAAGATATTAACTCTGGTGGAAATGCGCTCATCGTCCAGTCTATGCGACATGCCCGTCCCCTTTCTGTCTTTTCAACTGCAAATACTTCCAATTCACTTGATTGGCTTCCGCACTAGGAGAGCACTTACTAACCTATCGGGACGAACAATAACTATGCCATACATACTTGCATTGGGAACAGCAGCATTTAGTTTTGATGACATCTAAATATTGTAATCGCTTGGCCCTAGGATTCGGCACCTGTCGTACGCCATTTCTAATGTCTAAACGCTAACCGGTTCCCCGGTCAGTTCTCGCCAGTATCTTACTGATATTACTGTTAGTCACTCTTCCAAGAATAATGTCAAATCCAAGATAATAACGGGAGGCTTATATCCCGTACTAACAGGATCATCAGCGGACAACTTCTTATTAGGTAGGAATGATTTCAGTGTATTTTTCGGCCTCCAACCCTGTGGTACTTAACATTTTTCCCCGTTCAGCCTCGTCTCCCTGATATCTTGAGGATATCTTCTTATCTCTCATTGCCTGATTTTAGACGTGCCAGAGAGCCGAACTAAGAAAAAACTAGGATCAGACTGTAATTCTGCCTTGCTGCTTACTCTTCTCATTTTTTCCTTAGGCCATGGTGTTTAGGGGAAATTTTTGCCGATAACCTCTATTATCTCCGAGTAAAGGTAACACTCGTCTTAACACGAAGATGAGGAGGACAGGGAGAAAGAACGCAAAGTCAGAGGAGGAGGAGGAGGAGGAGGAGGAGGAGGAGGAGGAAAAGGAGGAGGAGGAGATGTGCCACTCTTGACTGACTATTCCGGTTCTCGTCCGACATGCTAGAAGTCCCTTGCTCAGGGGATGAAAATCCTGCTCAGCTTGGGTTCCAACCTCGGTGATGTCAGCACTTGAAGTTGGGGCATCAATGGCTAACGAGGGCCCTTCTTTTTGTTGGTAACACTGTCCGATGATTGCTTCTCCAAACGGCATCACCACGCCCGGACCATGTCCCCAGAAATGCAACCAATGGACTAGTCGAACAAAGCAATGCAGGATGACTCCACGCGTTACGTCCGTCCCGTAGAAATCTCACACACTTGCGACAATCTGCGTGAACAGAAAGTTTGCTTGACCTCCCGTCCCCTTCTCCGTGGTGTCAGACGTTTGTGCCACTCAAGATTTCGTACTGGAGATGAACTCTCTTCCATGCAGCGGTCAATTAGGTGCTGACTGATCCGAAGGCCTCTTTTCCCTCGACATTTTACTAGCCGCCTCGGTAGCTACCGCCCTCCATTCACCTGGTTGATCCTCTTCAACTCTAAGCTGTCGCGTTCCGTTGCTGTTCGAATGCCTACCGAGACACCAGAAACATTATTGCAGAGGTGAATTGGAAGCGATCTTCCACCAATGAGTAGTATCGAGTATATTTGAGCATCTTTCGAGGACATCAGTTCGTCAGAAGAGTTGAGACAGTTTTCATTAACGCTCCCGAATCCGACGTTCCACTGACAAAAAATGTCAACAGTTCTAATCACCTGGGGCGCGCTGTACTCACGCAATCGTAGATTAGGTCGTTCCGTAAGGTACATTGTTGGACTTCCATGAGAAGGCTTCACGCAGCCTTCTTCTCTACTCTAAGCCGTCGCGTTTCGTTGGTGTTCGAATGCCTACCGAGGTACCAGAAACATTAGCGCAGAAGTGGCGCGGCCTTCTCTCGCTGAGTAGTATCCAGTATATTTGGTCATCTTTCCAGGACACTGACTCATCAGAAGAGTGGAGACAGTTCCCATTAACATTCCCAAACCTGACCAGCCATTGGCCCAAAAAGTGTCGATGGTTCTAATTTCCCCCACAAATGAAGAAATGGATTGATCAACTGGGCTACGCTATATACACGCAACCGTAGATTAGGTCGTTCCGTGTAGTATATTGGCCTTCCGTGGAAAGGCTTCACGCATCAGCAAAATGACATCTTTCGGGTGAATTCTTTTTTCGCAAGGCAGATCACTTTATTTTCCATAACTGATGAAGTCTGTCTTGGTCAATTATTTTATAAATAATTACGCCTCCTTGAAAGCGTGTGTTTTAATGTACAGTTCCTAAATTATTAATTTAGAGTCCGTTTGAAAGATGGGTTGGTATGCACAGTAGGTGGGCTAACTCATGAAATGTCAACCGAAATTTCGAAATGTGTTTTGTTTCGAAAAGATTAATTAAGCAGGGTTGCAAAACAAATCATCGTGCAGCATAATTCTATAATAATTCAGTTACCTCAGGACGCCGGCTTTTAAACAAATTTCATTTTGTCTGCATGCAAAAACCATACCCCTAAAAAATGACTAATTAAGTAGCATGCATTTTTTCATTGATTTTCAATGCCCTTAAAGATTCAATTATATTTCATGGAAAGCATGCATAAAAATATTCATTCATTTGCTCATTCAGTAGAAAATTACGTCCTCATTCAATTCTACACTCGATGGAAGGGTACAATTCGGTCTTAAAATGTTTCTAGTTGTGAGAGTTTTTAATACCGTAAAATGACCCTTCATTAGAAGTCATGTCTCTGCATTTACCAACGTGGCTTATAAAGTTAACAATGACGCTCAAGTCCACTTTTTAATTTTATAAACCCCATATGGTCTTCTCCCAATACTGTAGAGAAATGTACGGATTTCCGTACGCGGAAATTATATGACGTGTAGTTGGGAAACCCTGAATGCGAGTGTAACGGCAAGTCAGATTCAAAATTCTTTGGGAATTGGGAAAGTTTTATAAATCCAAATTATACCCTTCTTTCGTGCGTAAAAGTAAAAGAAGACGTAATTTTCTACTGGATGAGCAAATGAATTAATATTTTCTTGCATGTTTTCCATGAAATATAATCGAATCTTAAAGGGCATCGAAAATCAGTTAAAAAATGCATGCTACTTAAGTAGTCATTTTTCACGGAGTATGGTTCTTGTATGCAGTCAAACAGAATTTTGTTAGAAAGCCGACGTCCTAGGGTAACTGAGTTATTATATAATTATACTGCAGACTGATTAACTTTACAACCCTACTTAATTAATCTTTTCGGAACGGAAGCGCACTTCGGAATTTCTGTTGACATTTCATGAGTTAGCCCACTTACTGTTGGCCTACGCTACCACTCCTTCTCGACCAGCCTTTGCCGAACATTTAACCGCTTTCTTGACCCATTGAATTCCCCCATGGATTATCATTACGCAGGTTCAGGCCTGAACGGATCCAACAACTAGAACTCATCGGTTGTTCTTTAAACATCAGCGACGTCCACTGATTAAGTTGACCAGTTTGCTCAGTATGTGTCAATATTCAGTCTAAAAAATCGCCCTTCCGGTAAACAGTTGCTGCTGTCGTTTCTGTGTGAATGCACATTCACCGCCCAGGGCATTTCCTGGTCTAGCGTTCAGTGAATTAGTTTAAGCGGCTACGATTGGCTCGCTTATTCTAGCTGGCTTAATATTCGTCCTCCTCAACGGCCTGCGTCAGACCAGAACAAGGGCCGAGGTGGCTCACACTACGAGTTTACCGGGCCGCGCTGAGTCCATAGGAGAGGCCGGCTGTGGCTATAGACTTTCACGCCCCACCAACCACTGTGCCAAATCCCATCACTCGTTAGTTGCAAGGCTCGGACAGTCGACTAGCCGGAAGTACGGAACCCATCCGTACGACAAATCAGCACCTACCTCGCTGCAGTAAATCTTACGTGATTGAAACTATCACGACACGCCAGTAGCCGCGGCTTGACGGGTTGTCAACTGACGAGAGAACACAGTCCTTCTCAGGACTTGGCCTCCATAACACATATGTGAGATCTGAGTCCGCTCCCCCCCCCTAGAGACGCCTGATGCACGCTGTAAGACCAAGCGGTTACAAGTGTGGACAAGCTACTTAAATTTTTCGGCCACTGCGCCCGAACCCACCACCGGTCTTGACATTGTCCCCTGATCGGCGCAAAGTGAGCGAGGGAGCTGAGAATACAGTGGCAACTGATAGACCGACTGTCGGTTTCAACGATGTCCACCATGTGTCCCACAGCAGAGCGCGAATAGGGACGGTGACTTACACATGAACTAGAAGAAGACGGGGAAGGCGATCGCTGGGACCAATTGTTTATTTATCCGACGTTTCGAAATCTCACGCGAGCCCATCGTCAAGGAATGAAAAGCTGTACAACTCATCGTATATTTAGTTCACCTCTGCGGGGGGTAAGCTCTAGCTGCGCTGCTGATTTGCTCACGCAGTGCTTGATAGGTGATTGGCTGGTCGATTTGTCGATTAATCGAGTACTCGGTTGACTGCCATGCTTCCTGGAGCAGGCGAGCAGCTGTGTCGTCCGACTGGTCTAATATTCTCACGCAGTGAGATTCGAAGCCGTGCCCTGGCGAGGAGGCGTGGGCGACTACCAAGGAGAGTTTATTCTTCCGTCTCACAGTCAACTCGTGTTCGTGCAATCTCGTACGTACCTGTTTGCCGGTTTCACCAACATAATTGGCCTGACCACAACTGCAGTCTATCCGGTAAATTAGCCCCGATTTCTGATTGATGGGAATCGGGTCCTTAGGGTGCTTGAGTTGCCGGTGAATTGTTTTTCGGCCCTGTGGACGACACCAATCCCAAAGTCCGTCATCAGTCTAGCGAATTCTTCTGACACACCGGCGATGTACGACACTGCGCGCCAACATTTCGGTTTTGGTTGCCCCTTCGGTTTTCTTCCCCGGGTTTCTCGCCTGCACTTTTCGACGAAATTCCCAGGGTAGCCGTTCGCTGTAAAGAGTTTCCGCAGGAACTGGACCTCAGCCTTCTTGTCGACTGGCTCAGTGCAATGAGTTTCTATACGCCGGTAGTGTTCTCACGCGCTTGCATTTGTGCGAGAGGAAGTGGTTGCTAAGAAAACTCAGAATACGGGAGGTATTCGTTGCCTTCCGGTAAACCGTTGTTTTTAGTTCACCATCACCTTTTCTCTGGACTAGTACGTCAAGAAACGGCAATTGGCAGTCTTTTTCTTCCTCCATCGTGAACTGGATGTCTGGGAAGATCGAGTTGAGGTGTTGCGGGAATTCCCCACTCTTGTGCCGATTGATAATGACATCGACATACCGTACCCGCAGGCGTGGCCGATAGTGGTCGAAAGCCAGTGCCTCCAGTTGCTGTAACACTGCCTCAGCAATCAAACTGGATAACGGTGACCCCATGGGTGCACCTTTAACTTGTTCGTACACAGCTCCGTTGAAGGTGAAGAAAGTCTCCAAGCCGTGTTTCAGGAGAATTAGTTTATTAATGATAGCAGACGTGCACTGCACCTAACGCACTCCCCTCCTCCCCCTCTCCCTGCATTCTTTCTCAAGACAGAGCCATGAAGACTGGAGGCGGGAGAGGACGCGGATGACTGGCGCGGCCGGAACCGACCCTAGGCGTGCTGCCACATCCGTAACTGCCTTAACATGAACTATGCAATTCCAGCGCAGGTCACAGGTGTTGCGCCCATTGTCGGACAGGTGGTTTACGTTGTCGCTTACGACGGCCGAACTGTCGACGAAAAAGGTCCCCAGAACAAACCGCGCTGTTACGCTAGACGCAGGCCTTGGGCCTTGCCAGGCATCGTGCCTGATCTCATCTCCGGGCAGGTTAGCCCTGCTCACTAACCTGGGGCGGATTAAATTACCAAGACAAGGGGCTGCACGCCTTGACTCAGATATTCGACAACTGACACGGCAAGTAGACCCAAGTCGGTGCAGGCTTTAATGGCTCTTTCTCCAAGTGACCACTATGCTGTTCTCACCCCCATGAGGTTCGAGATTATGAGTCTGGTTCAGGTTTGTGTTGGGGACGACATATCCGTTGGTCCAAAACGGCAGTCGCACTGGTACTTGGTGCGTGTCTCCTGTGCTGCACTGGGCTTACGCAAAGTCCGAATTGCCGTCATGCGGGGTGTTGGACGCCTTAGGCGGTGGCGGATGCCACGTCAAATACTGCGTCCAATATCATCTCTATGGCAAAGTAGCACACTGTTCGCTATGGTAAACCTGACGCTCCTGACACGCCGAAAGTCATGACTGGAAGTGCAGCTGGCTGACGCGTTAACACGATCGTCTGGTGGAAAGTGGGCCAACCTACAATGGTTCCTTCATGTGGTCCGGATGGCACTTCGCGCTCTCCTGAGATCAGAGTCCTCCTCGCTGGGTGACGCCCAGTACGTTCAGTGTCGGAGCTCAGCCCGTGTGTGGTACGTGCAGACGGGTCGCTTAACTCTCGAAGCAACCGCGTCCACACACAGTTGGGGCGTCTTGACTGTCTTGCCACCGCAAAGCGACGGATACGGAACTGGGGTGGGGTAGGCGCGGCGCAAGTTCAGTTCACTGCCCAAAAATGCGTACCATATCCACGGCTACGTCCACCTTGGGGGACAAGGGCGGCAGTCGTATAAGTAGGGGGGACGCACCACGTCGGCCATTCCGTCCACGAGAAAAAAATATAGGGCGGAGTTGATACGACGAAGCACTGGCAGCTGGCTGTGTGCATGGACTCAATGGCAACAGTCCTGCATGTTGAAACACGCGTCACTCCAAGCGGCCGCGATTAACAACCCGCCCGGCGGAGAGGCAGGTGCCCAGAGGACGCAGGTGCGTGTGTGTGCTTGCATGAGCTCAGCTCATGGCCACGGAAGTTCGGGAACGCACACGTCACTGCTACTACCCCCAGGACAGTGCCGGCTTCTGTCAGTAGCTATGAACTGACTAAAAATGAGGAAAAACCAATGAGACTGCCTCCAGTCAGTGCAGGTGGCGATGCAATAAATATACTATGACCAAGGACGACTAATGCCTTCCCGTCCTGGTACTTAGCACAGACTCTAGCCTTTAGATCGTTCCGTACTTCAAGAGGACCATTAGGCAGCTACTGAAGCCTGGAATCTTCGCTCCTCCTCGACAGCGGGCACGGTAGGCTAACTCGATCAAAAACCGGGAATTTATGGGCATGTCAATTTGCGAAAAATGTCATCAAAACAGATTAAAAGGGATCCAGAGATGCCAAGTCCCGGCTTATAAGCGATCAGCCATCTGCGATCTGTCGCTCGAACGACGGACCCACATTGCTGCCAGCTGCGTACAACCTGATGCTTTTACAAATCCTGCTTTCTGACAGCCTTACTGCAAATGTCTTTCTGATCAACAACCCAACCGTGCCAGCTCGGCGCCTGGCAAGCGAGACCCCTTTCAGGACTATCTGCTAGAGCCAGCAACACGAGATCACCCGCGTTCTGTCCTGCGATCAGGATGGACCCGTGAACGCCATGCTCATGTGGGCACAGTCGTCAGGGGCCCCGATCACCATGCCAGGTCTTCTTATTTTGTGGCCTATTTTACACAGTAGTTGGGCCAACTCATGAAATGTCAACCGAAATTCCGAAATGCGTTTTCGTTTCGAAAAGATTACTTAATTAGGGTTGTACAAATAGCCATCTTGAAACACAATTCTATAATAATTCAGTTGCCTCGGGATGCCGGCTTTCGAATGAACTTCCTTACAGCTGTATGCAAAAACTACAGCGGTCACGAACGCCTTCCCCGCGGCGAAGTTATACGTATGTTTCACAAACTCTACCCTTCTACACTTTGGAGATAAAGACCGTTTCAGGCCACATCGATGTGTATTTGCTCATTCTCTTGCTCCTACTGAGCGGGCTACATTGTCCGTACAACGGGACGATTGGAAAAGAGGCTACGTTAACACTTACCGGCCTGGCAAGGTAAGAGTGAAAACACCTCTTTGGCATGAATCAGCGCGCCAATGCCAAAGAAGCCTGGCGGTTCTTCTTCTTCCTCACCGAGCAAACTCGGCGTCAGGCTATCTCTGTACGGCCTTCTTAAGTCCGGTGTGGTCGTTTGGTTCTGAGCCCTACGAGTGTGGTGAAGTAGGATCTTGTAAGCTACAGGAAGGTCCAGACGCCTGTTGATGGAGTGGGCATCGGGGAACCACGTCTCGACAGCTAGTCGTTCTGCTTTTGTGTTACCTCGGACTAAGATGGTAGCCCTCTGGAGGTCAAAAGTAGGCGTTCTGTCCTGCGATCAGGATGGACCCGTGAACGCCATGCTCATGTGGGCACGGTCGCGAGCCGAAATTCCAAACTGCGTCTTCGTTTCGAAAAGATGAATTAAGTAAGGTTGTACAAATGGTCAGCCTGCAACATAATTCTATATTTCAGTTATCTCGGGATACCGGCTGCTTCCGAATGAACTCCCTTCCGGCTGCATGCAAAAACTACACTCTGTAAAAAATGACTACTTAACTAGCATGAATGTTTCTCATTGATTTTCGATGCCCCAAAATGTCCAATAATGTTTCATGCAAAGCATGCATAAAAATATTCGTTTGCTCATTTGGTAGACAATTACGTCTTTTTCATATTGACCCAACTGTGAAAAACTCGGCACCTCGGTGGGATTCGAACCCACGCAGTAAGGAGAAGGCTTTAGTACAGCCAACGCTCTAACCACCTGAGCTACGAGGCCCCGCCGGACGACGCGAGTTTAATCACATTTGGGTCAAGTTACCCGCCCAACCTACTGCAACGTCTGGAATCCACCAAATCTGATACTGCGTGGGTTCGAATCCCACCGAGGCGCCGAGTTTTTCACAGTTGGGTCAATATGAATAATTCAAAAATCTGCCAAAACATCAATGAATTACGTCTTTTTCCAATCTTATACTCGAAGGAGGGACACAATTCGGTTTTATAAGTTTTTAATTGTGGAACTTTTAAATACCGTGAAATGACCGTTCATAAATCGTCATATCCCTGCATTTACCAATGTGGCTTGTAAAATTAACAATACAGATCAAATCCACTGCTTAATTTTATGGACCCTATGTGGTTCCCCTTAATTACCGTAGAGAAATGAGTAGTTTTCGTACGTGGAAATAATACGGTTTCTAGTTTGCAACCCCTGAATCCAAGTGTGACGGTAGAGTGGGTTTAAAATTATTCGGGAATCGGGAAACTTTTTTAAAACCGAATTATGTCCCTCCTTCGAGTATAAAATTAGAATAAGACGTAATTATCTACCGGAGGGGCTAAAGAATGAATATCCTTATGCATGTTTTCCATGAAATATAATTGGACATTTAGGGGCATCGAAAATCAATGAGAAAAATTCATGCTTGTTAAGTAGTCATTCTTTACACAGTGTAGTTTTTGCATGCAGCCGGAAAGAATTTCATTCGACAGCTGGAATCCTGAGGTAACGGAAATATTATAGAATCATGTTGGAGGCCGACTAGTCTTACAACCTTAATTAATCTTTTCGTAAGGAAAACGCATTTCGGAATTTCGGTTGACATTTCATGAGTTAGCCCACCTACTGTACCTTCAAGAAAACCCAGCTCCCCTAATCTGCCCCGGTCTCCGACTTATACGGCCTTTTTTAACAATGTTTGACGTTAACGTTTCTACTAGCGATGCCTGTATCCATCTTCTTGGTCCATAGCGCCCCCATGTCTTTCTCCTGTCGTAGTAAAAGAGGGTATAATTAATAACAATAATAATAATAATAATATGTGAATAGACATTGTAAGGTGAATAAAAGTTACGATAAAAACTTTACATTTCATTATCGTTGAGTGGAACAGTTATGGTTAGGGAAATTCAGTTTTCACAAAGGCGTGAAGGGTATTTTCAATAGACGTCACCACAAATTAGCACAAATACGACTTCAGTTGGCCAGGCACCAGTTTTACTGCGTGGAGGGAAACACGACGGCCAAATTTCAAAATCCCGAGATATGCTCCACAGGCGAAGTCACTTGACAGCAATCCGACACCGCAGTGATCGAATTCCTCAGGAGGTTGTGCACTGTCCTCGTCATGATTAAATGTCGACGAAGTTGTTCCGGCCCGGCGCGATTGTCTGTCCAATCGCGCGCTGAATTCGCAATGGGTCCAACCGTTCCCGGCCCGATTTTGTTGTTACGAGGGGCCGAATGACAAAAAGGCGACATGTGCATTTTTAGGCTGTTGTTCATTCTCTTCTTTAGGTCATAGGATAGGACACAGGCATCAATGGTCTCGTGGTGGTCTTGCGTTAAATTCTCGAGGGGTATCTACACTAGGTGGACTAACTCATGGAATGTCGGCCGAAATTTAGAAATTCATTCCCGTTTCAAAAAGATTAATTAAGGAGGGTTGTAAAACTAATCAGACTGAAGTATAATAATGCAGTTACTTCAGGATACCGGATTTCGAATGAACTTCCTTCCGGCTGCATGCAAAACTATACTCTGTAAAAAAAAGGAGTACTTAATTAGGGTGCACTTTTCTCATTGATTTTCGATGCTCCTAAATGTCCATTTTTATACTCGAAGGAAAGGTATAAATCGGTTTTTAAAAAAGTTTTTAAGTATGCGATTTTTTAATACCGTGAAATGGCCATTCATAAAACGTCATGTCTCTGCATTTACTAATGTAGTTTGTACGGTTAACAATATGGCTTATACCCACTGCTAAATCTTATGAACCTCACATAGTCTTCTCTTAATGCCGTAGAGAAATGTATGGTTTTCCGTACGCGGAAAATATACGGTTTGTAGTTTAGAAACCCTGAATCCGAGTGTAACGGCAGGTCGGGTTCAAAATTATTCGGGAATTTGAAGCTTTTGAAAACCTAATTATACCCTTCCTTCGAGTATAAAATTGGAAGAAAATGTGATTTTCTGCTAAATGAGTATTTTTATGCCTGTTTTCCATGAAATATAATTAAATATTTAAGGTCGCCGAAAATCAATGAGAAAATTGCATGCTAATTAAGTAGTCATTTTTTGCAGTGTAGTTCTTGAATGCAGTCGAAAAGAAGTTTATTCGAAAGCCGGCACCCTGAGGTAACTAGATCGTTATAGAACTATGCTGCAGAATGATTCGTTTTACAACTCTACTTAATTAATCTTTTCGAAACAGGAACGAATTTTGAAATTTCAGCTAACATTTCATGAGTTAGCCCACCTACTGTATTCCCATCTTACAACTGAATTCACCAGGAATCTGGGGCAAGTCCTTCCCCCTAATACGGGAGGGAATCCGTGCTCTCATGCAGAACGGGGCATAGTGTTTGGGTGAACTGATTGTCGATAACATTTTTTTATTTCCACAGGATAAAAACAGCAACTCCTCTAACTGTTTAGACGAAGTCAAGAATGAGCAGGACGACCACGACGACGAAACATGGTCCTCTATAAGGGAGGCGCAACGAAGGCAGACATGGAGATGGTTCATTGTTGTTCCTCAGTCTGCCCTTGTTTTCAGGCCTGAAATATGATTTCGAGACTTTCCAGCGGCCGAGAAGTGAGTCGTTCTGGACTGTGCGCAGTGAGGTAGGGCAGCAGCCAATACGCGACTGAGTAGGAGTCGACAGTCGGGTCTACAAACGCAGTCGAAGGCAGTCCGTGTTGTCCAAATTACTCCGGAAAGATCTTGCCTTTAGGAAATAGACCTTGAGGATAGGCAGTTCTCGGACCGAGAAATGCCAGAAAACGTCATCTATCGGATTAGTTATATTTGACAAAAGATGTCGGGTGAACTGCTATCGGCGTTAATCCATAGACTTACCCCCGGATGCGAAGAAGATTGCTTGCAACGGACTCTCATTCTGCTTCCTCCCCCTTCGGGACAGTGGTTGACTGAATGCTAACTTGATCGGGGAGGGGGGAGATAGCGAAAGACGAAGAAATGTGTGCTGGGTAGGTGGGCCAGACGATACAGAAGAGTTACTGCCAGGGAGAAGGGAGAGTGTGATGGTCATTTCTGGTCCAATCTCCATCCTCAATCAACCATACTCCAAGCCAGGGCTGGCGATAATCGGGGGACATCCGTTTCGACGATGTACACCGTGTGCTCCACAGTGAGGCGAGAGCAGGGACAGTGACTATCGCGTGATTTCGTTTATAGCAAAAACTGACTTGCACAGCATCTACCTCACTCCCCTCCCCTCCCCACCAAGACCCCGTGTCAGGACAGAGTCAAGAAGACCGGAGGCGGGGGAGGCCACAGGTGGCCGACACGGCGAAAACCCGCAGCTAAGTGTACCACCACATCCCTGGCCGACAACGTACACTGACCAGGATTTTATACCACAACAAGTGGGAGGCAACAGGGGTTCAATTGGCACAGAGTGAGTACGCGACTGGGCGTGCCAACACAGCCCAAATGTTGGCATTTGTTATGGGTACGCATTCCCCATAACGCCTGCTGGACTCTGGTGTAGCTTCATTTATCGAAATTCCTGTCCGGTGAGCGACGGGTCAGCTTGTGGTCGACTACGCGGGAGAATATTCGAATATATACATGGGAAATTTGCTAGTACCTTGGAGCTCGGTGATGCGACACTGTCACGTTAAATTGCTGACCCCGTTTCAGCTCCGTTTCCAGTAACGTTTCAGGCCCGCGTATTAGACTGTCTTTCTCTTACGGCCTCACAGACGGTGCCCACGATCCCATTTTCTTTAGTTCCTCAGCGCTGCCGAGAAGTGCTCGAAATTTTGAAATCGACAAAACCTAATCTACAGAGGAAGCACTGCCAGTAAACATCTTATCAAACGCCAGAAGTTGAACCGTAGCCCCCTGACCCTTGATACGACCAGTATGGACCTCAGATAGTGGCCGGGTTGTTGAAACTACAATCTGGCCCCCTCTGAGGAAAGGATGAGCGCATTGCAGACCAAAACGTGAGAATTCCGCTCGTGTCTAACTGTCTCAGCCTCGGTGTCAACGTTGACCGCCTCTCTGAGGTGCATTTAACCGGGTGGTGTCCCGACCAGCCCTAAACTGCCATTCGCCGATATATGCTTTCCACACCTACTACAACAGGCACTTGACTAAGATTTCTAACAATTAAAAAGGGGCGGCATGAATCTCCATTGGCGTGGTGTGAACCTGCAACTGGGCGGGCCTCCCACACCCCAAATGTCGGTATTTGTAATGGGTACGCATTCTTTGCGGTCACGGTATCACAATTGATCTGGGCGACCAGTTCAAACCCTGAGAATCGGCGCCGCCGTGAATAGTACCTTTGCGTTTTTTTTCAGATCGCAGTTGTCGCGATCTACGCCCGAGGACTCAATGCCGATGACACACAGAAAGAGGCTTTCTATGAAGAAATTCGGACCTCAGTTAGGTGTGACTGGTACGTCCAGAAGGACGGTTAGGTGCACGGTAGCTAAGGTGGAGGAAGCCTGTCAATTTCGCTGCGTCTAACCGTCTGATCGTTACAAGCGACTGTCTCTGGCAACCCCAGAGATACGTACTTTGTACTCAAACGATGGCTACATTCAAAAATCAAGCCAACCATTTGCAAGTCCAAGAACGCTGAGACTGCACTGTGCTACGCTCCGGCGCCGACCTCGGCCTCAACAATGGCCCTGACCATGGTCTTGTGGGGTCTCGGTCACGGCTCAGACCAGGTATTGTCGAAAGGCGCAACCTGCGGTAAGAGGCAGAGTGCTAATCATCTCAAGGGCTATGTTAGCAGCTGGAGTTCCCGTTTGACCATCTCCAGACGCTTTGCCACACACGTGCACAAAGCAATAGATGTCAACTTGTGAATCCTTTAGGAAATGACGCGTCCCTACAGGCGTTGCCGCAGTGACTGATTCTCTGGGGAAACGATCCAACTGGCTGATAATGCGAGTGCTACTCACCTTCGGGGTGATTCGGACTTCCAGAAACTGCCTTCTGAGACCATCCATTCTCATGACAGAACCACAAATAATTTGGAGATAACTGTTCGAGATGTTGAACTCGACCCAGCCGACAGAGCTAACCATACGGTAAAGATTAGTCAGTCTTCTAGTCCGTCTACCCTAACGATCCGAAACAATCAAGGTGCGTGTACAGCATCAATTGCGAACACAAAGCTGGCGGAAAGTGCAATCTGCCCAGCTTCAGACCTCGGTAGATTCTGGTCCCTCGAGCGAAGTCCAGTTTAAGGACGCCCCAATATCCGAAGATGACTGTTGGTGTCGTCCACCGTCTGTGAAAGGGAGTCTTGATGAGGCAGTTGGGGAGGAAAAACGAAAAAACATCAGGTGAAAACTGTCTTCGAGTGCCAAGGTACAAGTGTTAACCGAAACTAATTGCTGGCTGACTACACGGCCTCCGGGACAAATTTGGGAAGCACCCTACTCGGAGACCGCAGCGACGCTGTCGTCAACTCAAGGTAGCAGACCACGGTGTAAGAACTTATACAGCATCCCCCCGCCCCCCAGACACTGCTGCTGTGAACTTCGCAGTCGTCCTCGCTGATGCCGTGGCACGCAAACACGGACGAACCAGTGCAACTTACAATCGAAAATTGCTTAATCATCATCTCCTGTCTCGCCGATCTCATTCACATCCTTACTGTCGATTCTCGCCTCCTTGGTGGACCCTGCCCAGAACGTTCAACTCTGTCCATCCGGCGTCCTTCATGCCGCAAGGGTTTCCAGTACTCTCAGCGAGAATGACGGCTCCACCGTCGCTTCTGACGATGTCCGTCGTGTGCTCCACAGCAAGGTGAGAGCAGGCACGGTGGCTTGCGCGTGAGTTAGTTTACAGTGAAAGTGGACTTTCGAAGCATCTATTGCACACTCCTCCCCGCCTGGGCCTGGGGTCAAGACACAGTCGAGAATACCGGAGGAGGGGGAGGGCGCAAGTGACTGGCACGGCCGGACACGCACCTTGGCGCTCCACTCCACACCCCCTGGTCCGCAACATACACTTGACCAGGATTTTTCACCAACAACAACACCCCAACAGGGTTCAGAAGGACGAGGATGATCACTGGGCAGCCATGCCCGCTACCTGTTTGCCCGGCGGGAGCGCAAGCGCATCTACCGGCAGGAAACCAGGTGTCAGGGAACTGCCAGCATATACCAGGCTGCGAGGGCCATGGTTTGCTGAATCATGGCATAACAAACGCAAGCAAGCCTTGAAGTCCTCTCAGCCCAGACACACGTTTGGCCAAAGTTGTGCTGCTGTAAGACGCTGCAGAGAAACCGTGTCTGCGACCTCAATAAGTACCTTCGTTGGAAGTATTTGGAACCAATCATTTGAGTCGAAAACAATTGCGCCTGTAAAATAACCGCGTAATGCCCATTCTACGTACAAGTTAGTGGTACAAGTATCACAATTCTTATATGACAGATTTTACCTTACTACCAACTAGAAGCCAAGGCACACGTTTCTTCTGATGCGGAACGCAATTGCCAAGGGGTTCGGATCTCCCCAGCGCTCCCCTCGTGCATTTTGGAATATACACTAGCTTTTACTTTTAAGCTTTGTAATTTCCTTGAAAATTAATAGATTACAGTGCGTGACCGATCTCATGAAATGTTGGTCAAAATTCTGGAATGCGTTTCCGATTAAAAACACGTTTCAGGATCTCGGCCAGCATTTCAAGAGATAGCACATCAATCGTAGATAGTGAATTATTTGTCATTCTTCCGGCACGCGGGTACTAGTCAGAAGCCCATACACGCGTTTCACCGATTTTCTGCCGCTGCATGGTGTTACTACGAGGGGCTCGGCTCATCAATGGGATCTCAGCTTTTTAGGCTCTTCAGAAATTAGTGTATATGAACGTGGAGTAATTTCCCTCCACACAAGCCTTCTCAGGTTCGCTCCACAGTTCTGAATGTTTATGCGTAAGGATTTACTCCAAGCTACAGTGCGTGACCGATCTCATGAAATGTTGGCCAAAATTCTGGAATGCGTTTCCGATTAGGAGGGATTACTTAAGTGGGGATGTTATACTGATTATCATGCAGCACAACCCTATAACATTTCGGGCTTGCCAGGATGCGGGCTTTTGAATGCACTTCTTTTTGACTTCTTTTTTGCACTTCTTTTTTTCTTCTTATAAATTCAAATATCTTTTACAGAACACATGCACAAAAATATGCTTCCTTCGGACATAAAATATAAAGACAATGTGATTTCCTACCAAATGAGCAACAGAAAGCATATTTTTGTGCATGTTTTTTTATAAAATATATTCGAATTTATAAGGCCATCGAAAATCAATAGGGAGAGTGCATGCTACTTAAGTAGTCATTTTTTACCGAGTGTGGTTTCTGCAGAAGGTTAAAAAGAGGTCCGAAGGAAGCATATTTTTGTGCATGTGTTCTGTAAAAGATATTTGAATTTATAAGAAGAAAAAAAGAAGTGCAAAAAAGAAGTCAAAAAGAAGTGCATTCAAAAGCCCGCATCCTGGCAAGCCCGAAATGTTATAGGGTTGTGCTGCATGATAGTCAGTATAACAACCCCACTTAAGTAATCCTTCCTAGTCGGAAACGCATTCCAGAACTGTGACCAACATTTCATGAGATCGATCACGCACTGTAGCTTGGAGTTAATCCTTACGCATAAACATTCACAACTGTGGAGCGAACCTGAGAAGGCTTGTGTGGAGGGAAATTACTCCACGTTCATATACAGTAATTTCTGAAGAGCCTAAAAAGCTAAGATCCAATTGATGAGCCGAGCCCCTCGTAGTTACACCATGCAGCGGCAGAAAATCGGTGAAACGCGTGTATGGGCTTCTGACTAGTACCCGCGTGCCGGAAGAATGACAAATAATTCACTATCTACGATTGATGTGCTATCTCTTGAAATGCTGGCCGAAATCCTGAAACGTGTTCTTAATCCGAAAGGGCTACCTAAGTAAGGTTCTTATGTTAGTTATTGTGTTGCATAATACCAAGATATTTCAGTTGTGTCGGGGTGCCGGCTTTCGAACGATCTCCTTATCGACTGCCTATCTAAGCGGCCTTAAAATGACTACTTAAGTAGTATGATTTTTTCATTGATTTTCAACTCCCCTATAAGTTAGAATATATTTTATAGGAAACATGCACAAAGTATGCTCTCTCCTACACATTTGGTAGCAAACTACATCTTCAAATGTCATAGTTGAAGGAAGAGTATCTTTCGGTTTTAAAAGAACTTTCTTAACTCCCGAACAATTTCGACCTCTACCTGACGTTTCAAAACTACAAGCTGCACACTTTTCGCGTAAAGAAAATCATACACTTCTATATGCTGCTATCAAGAGAACATATAGGGTTCATACAAGTTCGTAATGGATATGACTCATATTGTCCACTTTATAAGCAGCATTAATAAATCGGTTCTTGCGATGCCGTACGGTTGGACATCCAACGGTCTTAAAAAATCTCATAATTACATACTTTTTTAAAACTGAGACGCCCTTTCTTCAAGTACGAAAAGAAGACGTCATCAACTGCCAAATGAGTAAAAGGAATGTAGATGAGATGGAGCCGACAAAGACAAGGGAGACCGGAATGGCCATTTCTGGCTTATTAGCCGTCATCAGCCAGCCATACCCAACCCCAAGTGTGGATCACTTGAGAGCGTCAAACTCCATGACCAAAGATGCCGGGTTCGAATCTCAAGTGATCCACACTTGGGGTTGGGTATGACTGGCTGATGACGGCTAATAAGCCAGAAATGGCCATTCCGGTCTCCCTTGTTCATGTTGGCACCATCTCATCTACGCCTACTGCTGGTCGCTCTGCAACCGCCTGCGAGGGTACTGGTATGAGCCCCAAGGCACAACGGAACGAGCATGTTCCGTAACCTGATCGGCGAGCGCCCACTGTCATAAAAGGAATGTGTTGTGCAAGCTGTCTGCAAAATATATTTGAATTTATAATTGCATCAAACACATACTACTTAAGTAATCATTGTTACACTATGTAGTCTTCGCATGCGGTCGATAAGAAGCTTGGTCGAAAACCGGCATGCCGAAGTGACTAGAATATCTTGGTATTATGCGCTACAATAATTAATATGACAAGACTACTTCGGCGATTTTTCGAATTGAAAACACTTCGAAACTTCTGTCAAAATTTCATGAAATAGAATATCTACTTTATACATTGTCTGATGTCTGTTGGCAGAATGTGAATTCTACGCGATTATTCCCCAGGGTTTCGGTCCAAGCATACATGGAAGCTTTCGAGTCAAACCTAAGAAGGTTTATGTCAGAGAATTTACTCTAATTTTGAAAACTAATTTCCGGGAGAATTAAAGAACCTAGCATGCTATTGACCCTGTTTCGACTGCACGGAACGAAGATCTGCACGAATGGCAAGGAGAGTGACTTCACCAATATCTCCTACATACTACTTAAGTAATAAAGGTTCTTCAGCGCGTGGCGACAGACCGCCCGGGTCCGTGACCTCGACTAATGACGCTGCGGTACCGGGGAGCCTCTCCTTTGCTGTGTCCAAAATGGGTGCCAAGGCAGCCGAAGCTACCCCGAAGGACAATTCAGCGATGACGATTGCTGCGGCCAATCTCGGCCAAGAGCCTCTACTCAGTCACGCCAGACACACCGAAGTTCAAGGGTTTTTAGATAACTATTACAGAGGGTGGGCTAACTCATGAAATCTCAACAGAAATTCCGAAATACGTTTTCGTTTCGAAAAGATTAAGTAAGTAGGGTTTTAAGACCAATCATTATGCGGCATAATTCTATAATAATCCAGTTACCTCAGGGTGCCGGCTTTCGAACGAACTTCCTTCCGGCTACATACAAAGACTACTCTATAAAAAATGACTACTTAAGTAGCATTCACTTTTCTTGCTTATTTTCGATGCTTCTAAATGTCCAATTATATTTCATGGAAAAAATGCATAAAAATATTCATTATTCCGCCGATTCGGTAGAAAATTAAGTCTTCTTGCAATTTTATACTCGAAGGAAGGGTATAATTCGGTTTTAAAAAGTCTCCAATTGTGAGATTTTTTAATAGCGTGAGATGGCTGTTCATGGAACGTCATGTATCTGCATTTACGAATGTGGCTTGTAAAGTTAACAATCTTGCTCAAATCCACTGCTTAATTTTATGAAGTCTATATGGTCTCCTCTTAATACGGTGGAGAAATTTATTGTTTTCTGTTCACGGAAATTACACGGCTTGTAGTTCGGGAACCCAGAATGCAAGTGTAAAAATAATCATTGTCTAGCATAATTCCATAATGATCCAGTTACCTCAGGACGCCGGCTTTCGAACAAACGTCTTTCGAGCTGCATCCAGAAACTACACTCTGTAAAAAGGGTTCAAAATTATTCGCGAATTGGAAGAGATTTATATAACCAAATTACACCCTTCCTTGGGGTATAAAATTGAAAGAAGACGTAATTTTCTACTAAATGAGCAAAAGAGTGGATATTTTTGTGCATGTTTTCCATGGAATATAATTGAATTTTTAAGAGCATTGAAAATCAATGAGAAAAATGCATGCTACTTAAGCAGTCATTTTTACAGAGTGTAGTTTCTGGATGCAGCTGGAAAGACGTTTGTTCGAAAGCCGGCGTCCTGAGGTAACTGGATCATTATGGAATTATGCTAGACAATGATTATTTTTACAGCCATACTCATTTACTCTTTTCCGAACGAAAACGCACTTCGGAATTACTGTTGAGATTTCATGAGTTAGCCCACTTACTATACCTTCTGGGGACTTTCTGTGAATGGAGAAAGCGGAGATTAAATTGACCATCACATCAGCCCGGCAGGGGGAAGGACCCTTCCTACAACTCTGCCGATCCCCTCAGAAGACCGAATTACAAGTACACGAGACTCCCACCAGGACGACTGCTCTCTACGCAAGCCCAGAAGACGTCAGTGTTCATAATGCGAATTCGCCTCATCGACCACGTCTCCAACGAAAGTTCCCCCACGGCCGATCAGGACCGCGATGGGGTCAACGGTGCCCTCATTACTCGCCAGCTAACCTGCCTAGACCATGCTGTGTGTCGACCCGAAGACGAAGCCATTCGGGATATCACATGGTCCAACCCTGTCCCGACTGGAGACAGTGTCGAGGCAACCAGCTAAAGATGTGGATAGGCTTGGTGTAGACTGACCTAAAAGACAGATCTGGTAGGTCGGCTGCCTCAACTGCATTTGGGAGTCTGCTGTCCACTGCCTGCAGTGTAGCGCAGTCAATCGTGATATGGCAAACATGGTGTTGGCTGACGTTCTGAGAACGCACGCCGTTACTCGCAAAGGTTGACGTCCTAAAGAGTAAGCTACGATCGCTGAAACAAGACCCTTATTTGTCCGGCGTTTCGGATTCCTACTTAAACCCATCATCAGACAACGGGTCCTCATTGGAATGAGTGAAGCAGATGAAAGCCTGCAGGCAGTACGCGGTCACCTAAGGGTGTGGTCTAGTCGACGGGATTTATGACGAATAATAGCAGGCCAACTTGGAAGACAGAGACTCCCCTTGGAGGGAGATGGTTGGGTACGAAAATATAGACCCCCCCCCCCGCGTATTACAGGTGGCCTTGCGCCAAACTCCAGGAGGGTTTAGAGAGTTAGGGGGGAATAGGGGCCTCCTGGAATTTAACGCAAAGTAGTACTGGGGAGTCCACATTCCTGTGTCCGGCCACAAACTTACCCTACTCGCACTCTCTTGCTCTTAATTCATACGAATTTCAAACGTCAAGACTGCGTACTCACACTACATTTCGTAGTGCAAACAAACCTATCAGAGCAAAGAACAAGACTGGTCGAGTATTGGTACAATCTGTTGATTTTTCTGAGCTCTCGGACCCGGACAAGAGTTCATTCTCCGAGATAGTAATAGGAACAGGACAAGCAACATACCCGACATCTTCGCGACCAATTCATGTTTGAAATGAGTATCCAAGACGTCTATAAGCCTGTGCCTACGCGTT